AACACAGTCAAAGTCAAAATTGTCATATTATCTCCACTGACAAAGGTGTTGGATCTTCCGCAAACTCTCGATGAAAATCGCTTTCCGCCATGATGCATTTGCAGATTTTACTGCAGCAGCGTCCTTTGACTAATGGGTCAAGTTGGTTATTAACCAATCAGAATGCTGTGTTGTACTGACGCAATTCTTCGGAAATTCCCGAAGACTTTCCGGTAACGCAATGCGGGAGTGAATTATCGATATCGAAGTAAGATCTGTTGGAATTGATTTCAGCGAATAAACGACATGGTTTTTCTAAAAAACTAGTAACTAGCCATTTTTGAGAGGTAAACTGAATATGGCATGAAAAATTTACCGCATTTTACTTGTATTAACAGGTCATTGTCGAAGCGTAATTTACGCACGGTTACCGTGTTCTACGCATTCACATGTTCACAGCGGCCGATATCCACGCTGTATCATATAAAAACGATTACCAAGATTCGTTACGCAAGACCAAGTTTTAAATTAGTTGCATTTTGAAGGGGTGGGCGCTTTGCCGAATGTGACCCCAAATATAAAAATTGCGCAAAAGTGGGGGGTGGGCGCTTGCCCGGGCATGGGCGCTAACGCGGTCGAGTACGGTATATATGTAATATCAAAGTAATTGGACTTGCGATTTTTAACGAGAAGTCGAAAATGTCACTTTTTACCAAAAATGACAAAAATATTCACCAAAATTAGAGAATTGAAGATATGATCATGAAATGAACAAATCTGAGAGAGGTCTACCCAAGGTACATATACACCAAGTATCAAAGCATTCAGGCTTGTAGTTTTCAAGAAGAAGTCGAAAAAGTAAAACATTGACGCGGACGACGCCGGACAATCACCCATATGATAAGCTCCGCTCGACAAAGTCGACAGCGGAGCTAAAAATTGGGAAGATTTAATGACTAAATAGGTAAAAGCAGTAGAATATTTTATTTTGTTTACCAAAATAGTGCACAGTCTAGACTGGAAGTGCTTTCTGAGGTTATCGCTATAACGCCTGGCAACAATATAGTTACATTTGACTATTTCGCACTGTACCTTGTTCTTTGATAATGTCAGTTCTATTTTTTAGTAAAATCTCGTAATCTTGACAAAAGCGATTATATAATTATGCAAACTAGGTTTACTATTATAGTTTTAAACACTTGATTAACCAAGTACAGAGAACATAATTGCTTACTAACATAATACTATACATTTTGTACATGTCCTTTATATGTGATAAAGTGTGAGGGGAACTTACACGTCCATAAATAAAATCATTTACTGACTGATACAAAACTGCATGGAGACTCAAATTGCTAGGTTTCTATGTACAGAGGAATCAGAGTATGTCAATCTCATAAAAACAAGGAAATCAAGGATGTAAATCATGTACGCAAAATGTAGAGTTACATTTGGTTTTTAAACCAATACTGTAAATCACATAATGTCAAGAATTTCGTAAGATTGACAAGTATTACAGAAGTGAAGATTTCACAGAAGTTTTCATGAAATTAATCCTTGTAAAATTTGGTTTTACTAGTGTTCACTTTGTTATTCAACAACTTGAATGCTACAATTCTGTTTTATGACCTCTACATGCGATATACATGCAGGGATCCAAATTAAGTCCAGCCTATCTTTCTTAAACAGGAAGGGGTTGAACAGTGAGAGGTGGTTGCGGAACTGGCTTTGCCGAAAAACAGGATAGAGATTATGTTAATTCACATAACAAATAGGAAAGACAAAGTCTATTATTCTATTTATTCTATTATTGGGTACTGTAAAAACATTTATTTTCACTGACATTTAATTTCACTATTTTAGATGTTTGAGTATATTCACTGAGTTTTAAGTTAACGAATTTGTTAACAAGTTTTATTGCTATTTTACATGTTTATGTGGATTTAATTTAATTTATGTGAATTTTACTCAAAACAGAGTAAATAGTTAATGCATTTACAGGTATATGCAGAAATTACACTATAGTCTCACAATTATTTGTGGCGAATCAAATCACAAGTAAGCTATCAAAGGTTCCTTTTAAATTCCTTACTGTTGTACCAATTATAGCAGAATTTAATGTAGAACTTTGCTGTGCGCCCTGCTAATGTATGTTACACCCAACAATTCTAGAAGACTAATTATAATTTGACTAGATAAGAAAAACTTACATTTCTTGGTTTCACAGGAACTCTGTCGTGATCCAAATTCATTCCCGGTATAACTACAGTCATTTTCCGTGGACCTTTGAAACCAAGAACGTTGGTATCCTAAAACAAAAAAAACACACATCAAGTACAATTATACAGTGAAAACAAAAAATATGTTTCTGTGAGGGAACAAATCATTTTATGATCATTTTAAAAGAATGGCATGAGCTATTAAAACAAGTAGCATTCAAGTGGAAAATATTGTCAGATAAATTTGAAAAATGTCTTCCATCGATATGTATGTTATGTAAAAATACATGTCAACAACATTGGGATTGCCCAATAGAGGCCACTACAGTATTCAAGGTGATGTGACATGTGATTACAAGTGTTTGTTTTTTTATAATGAATAGCGTAAGTACATAGCTTTAAATCTTAAGTTAGGCCAGACTTTTATTATCCCTTGTTTTGCGAACAGGAGCCGAAAATGAAAAAAAAAAAAAATTTATTTCAGCGTAATTTCTCGCGCCCGCCGACTTTTAAGTGCAAAAAATTGCTAAAAAAATTTATTTTTATCTTCATTTTTTTTTCGCCCGCCGCATAACAAACCCAAGTTGCATTTTCGTGGGAGTATCATGATCAAAGTACCGAAGTCTCGCGAAGATGAGAAACAAGGTTATACATGGAATAAATTTTTATTTCATTTCCTCAAAAAAATTGCCTTATAAAAACTCGAAAAACAAGGAATAAAAAAGTCTGGGCTTAATAATAATCTGTACATGTACAGTAATTGTGAGAGTTGTAAGTCAAAAATTACTCACGTAAACGACAGCTGCTATTTCTTGCCTTAAATTGGAACCATCAGAAAGAGCACCAGGCTTGCTCGGACTAATACCGTTATCAAATATTGTGAAATGAGTACCAAGAAAATTTGACCTGTAATCAAGAAGACAAGACAGTGATGAGGAACATCAATTTCTTCCAGAGATATATACACATATGATTATGCATAATCCCTCCTCTCTTTCAAACATGATTGTATTACTCCTAATTAATTAAATGAGAATTTATTAAGATTGGAATTCTCTCCTAGATTGCAGTGAATATTGTGTCAGTGGAGAGATGTATCAGGGATAGGAATGAGGTTTGAAATTAAAGAGCAAAGCAGGCAGGTCCCTAGTTGGGAAATTTACGAGTCTGTCAAAGAGACAAGGAGTCCAAACAAGCATGGTAAGGGAGGAAGAACAAATTAGAATGAGAGAAGGAAATTTTTGAGGGGAAATAAGAGTTGTGGTGGCACAGTTGAAGATGATTGAAGAAAAAGATCTTGAGAAGCCAAAGAGTATAAAGTTGAGCATTCAGAGAGAAATTAATGTAATACATGCTCTCCTTGTCAAGTACATGTACAGCCTGAAGCCTGGAAACAATTCTATCAGCATAGAACTCCTCATATATTATTTTGACCCTTGAATATTGAGTATGACTCACTAGCTTCCCAGTGAGAATGTACGATGAATCTCATAGGGGGAAGCAGGTATGAATCACCTTTCCATTTTACTTGATGACCACATAGCTCAGTAATAGAAGGAGAGACAACAGGGTCTCAATCTTCAATCAATTATATCGTAAGCACAAATATTGATTCGAACACCAAAACAGCAACAATGCCAGCTAAGTAGCTGACTAGTTTGCTATGCCTGTCTTAAGATCAATACATGATTCAAACTAGTTAGATAAAACATAGAACTTAAAATATGTGGTTTATAGATAAAACTATTTTTATGAGGGTGCAGTACAAACATTGTTACTTAATTTGTTTGGATAAGTTTACTAGCTACAAGCAACTCATATAATTGGATAAAATAAGATGGAGGAGAATTGCATCTTCTATTGATATTCAACATGTTTCTTAGTATTAGTTTGCAGACTCCTGTTGAGATTGGATTGACCCTACTTGTTCTTAAAGCATACTGAACTTGATAAATCATGAAGGTAATTCCGATGGAAACTTCAAAATGTTGAGTATAGGGTAATTATTTCTATGAGTGCAATTTACAATGTGGTTGTGGTCCTACATGTACTGACAACGACTTTAATCTTTATTATTAGTTGTGTGGAGTGAATACGGAAATCATTTCTAAAAAAAAATCATGAAAAGATGATGCTTATATGTCAGTCAAGCTGAGAATGTCAAAGACTGAAAAGCCGAACCATGTATCCATTCCTGAATAAGATTGGTTTCCGACTCAGCCTAGGATCTAATCTCTCTATATTCCAATCTGATTGAGAAAAGCTTTATTCAGGTAATACAGAAATGACTGACAGAATATCAAATAACACTAACCTAAGCTTTCCAACAAAAGCTTCCCCACCCCTGGACAGATTAGTTGCATCAGTAGATATCAAATAGTTAGCTGTTTTACTTTTCTTGCGCTTCCTTCCAGCAAGTAAAAATACCTATAAAAAATATGATTATTTGCACTATTAGTACATCAAAATGGAAATGCAACATCCCTCTGTAGAATGTGTGAGGTCAGTAGATATATGTGATGGTTTTAAAAGTATTTTCAAGTTTTGACTTTCGTGCCCAGTGGAGTAAAGTTGCAATTCTAGAAATGAAGCAATAGACTATGCACAAGCTGCTGTGGTCAAAAATTCAACAGTTAAAGTTGACAAAACAGCACAAGCTAAACTTTGCAGTAATCCTGAACAACACATTTTGTTGTACATATATGGTAATCTTGTTACACTGTTCAGACGAGTCTAAAACAACTTGCCCAAAGTACAGTTGTCAGAGTTTTCGACTTTTGGTTGCCATGCATAAAAATGTCTGGATGTTCGCCCCTGATAATATATATATTATATATATCAATGACATCATGTTTACATCATCATTTCAATACTAGTAATTTGTGGTTAATTCTAAAAGATCCAAAGTGACCGAACAGGTTTTGGCAATAGTGTTCAGAAGTATTCAGAACAAATGTGATGCACAGTTATTTAGTCCTTTTACCTTTTTCCCATCGTCTCTTTCCATATGAAGATAGTATGTAGGGAACATCCCCCTGTCCATTCCTTTTTTATCTCTTGTAATTCTACATTTGATGGACACTCCTTGTGGTGCTGGTCTCATCACAAACTCATCTAGGTCTTCTATGTCTAGTGCATTTGAAGCACCACCAGTTGGTGATTCCTACAAATATACATGTACACACATGTTACAGTGATGTTTCCATGACAAATAGAATAGAAGATTAGGTCATTATCATCATACTTCCATTATTATGGATTCATGCCATCAGAATACCAAAATTAGAAACAAACATAGAAGCCATCAAGCACTTGAGACGAGGGTCTAAAAATGTCATGAAAAATAGTCAAATTACTGTAAAGGGGTTAATTATTCACTGGGTTTTAATTTTGCTTATTTCGCTGACTGGAAAATGCGCTAAATTAAAACCCAGTGAATATGTAAAATTTAGCATAGAACACATTATCTGAATGATAAAACCGTGAATTTAAAACCCACTGAACATGCCTGAAATGGTAAATCAGCGAAATTTAAACCCAGTGAAAATTAGTCATTTTACAGTATATGTTTTTGCACTGGTTTTTTATGATGTAATTCTTTCTTCATATTTTGACATTTTGCTCAGTGACATGAGATGAAAAAGTCACATTATTATCGATATAAATCCTTAAATTGCTGCATACATGCATGTGCACATCAAACTCATACTGTGATTTGACTTACTAACCTTTTGAAAAGATAAGCGCATGTAATAGAGCAAGTATTGTATCACATTATAGTGAGAAATGATTGCTGTCAACTAGTATACATTGACAACATACAAGTGAAAAATAGACTTACATTCATTTTCTGTCGTGATGTTTGTTGCTGTTGCCCTGTGACTGTGTTGTATGAGGGAGGTGACATAGCACCAACAGGCGCTGTCATTGGTATTGTCTCATCGTCATCATTCTCATCGTAACATACGCTGGTTGAGATGCCTTTCGCTGCTAATATCCTTTCAGTTTCTGTAAAAAACAAGCATTTTTTCATGATTACCTGAGTTGGCATGTGATGCCCAAACAAGTTTCATTTGCTTGATGTTAATGTCATAAATACTTCTTACACGAAAGCATAAGCCCCAATAAATGAATTGAAATTCATGTAAGGTGCATAGACTACTAACTGGGAGTCCCAAAATTAGTAGTACAACTGGAAAACTAGAAATATACCAAGTACTGTAAAATCTGTATTAAAAGCCGCGGCTTCTAATAAAATGGTACAATGCAATTAGAGCATCTACACATATGAAAAATGGTGAATTTTTAGGTCTCAATTGTTCAAAAAGAATGGGTGCGGCTTCTATTAGGGATGCGGCTTCTAATACAGATTTTACGGTATTAATCCTTTGTTTTTCACACAAAACAGCCTACAAAACTATGGGTATACTAGATAAATTGAATAATATGACAAGTATTTATTTGTATTCACACATTTGCATGTTTCTAAGTACCTACTAAACCCAATAGACTAATCAATATTACAATAGGACTGTCAGCTTTTAAAACTCATAGCCCAGTCGAAATATTTTTTGTGCCACTAAAATATTAAAGATGAAGTGATGAGTAACAAACTGAAAATGCATGATAGAGGTTAGTCATACTAATGTGAATGTGCGTGTATCGTGAACATAAAGGTTGAAGTCAGTGATCACCAAGCGAAAGAAAGATCTAGCAGACAAACTAAAGACACTTTAGTCAACTGCAAATGTGGTGAACATTGAACAGAATCACCATGCGATACTACATTTAAACATTTCTGCTACTAACAATAATAATAGTCAATAGTAAACACATCACTATATGAAATACATACAAGGTCTAGGAAATTTTGATCATTTTGATCTTCAATATCAAGGTGCATGGTTTTTATTTTTTCTGAAATTCAAAGAAAAAATCAGAAAAAAAATGTGATGCCTGCAATGTGACTCACCTGTGGTTGTTTTAATGGTAGGTTCATCATCATCTGGTGGCACTCCTAATACTGATAATACTTGTACTGTTGTACTACCACCGCTGCCTCCACTACTTGTGTTGAATACAGATGCTGGACCATCATAACCTACAACAAATATACAAATAAAATAAATACAAGGCACAGTCACACACCTTTTATGTGCAATTTGATTTTATATTAAATTCAAACATATAAGCATATGGTCATCTAAGTAACATCACTGCTTTCTCTCAATTTCATTTCCACTACAACAATGCAAGGATGTGAAATAATCCTCAAAGAAGCATACAACTTCCCCTAACAATGGTGTAACTTAGCACTATCGAGAAAAACCTTATCAAACTGAAGAACCCAAATAGGATGGATCGTAACATGATCAGTATGGAGTACTGGGGATTTACTATTATGTGAAATATTTTATTATCTTGAATTTATGGCAAATACTTATTATACTAACTAATTCTGAGTTCTCTCCAGAGATTTTTAAGCATCATGGCCATGATGCCTGAATATTTTGAAAACCAAAAAATAAACAAGAAAAAATTAATCAATTAACACCTGCTTCATATGCAAATTATCCATCATTTTTACTCTTCAATTTTTCCATGACTTAAAGTAAGCTGAATTTTGGTGATCAATTCAGCTTCCTACTTGATTCTTTGTTCAATAGTCGTTTTTGACAACAGTATCACATTCAGCCAAACTGTTGGCTAAATCGTAAATATCGTAATTATGGGCATTTTTTTGAGCAAACTTCAAGTGTTTTTGCTATTGCTCATAGATGACTATCCACAAAATGGCTCATTACTGTAGCTTGCAGTAATTCAAAACACAGTCAAATTTGGTGAAGCATTAAATATTTCCAAAAATATGAGCATATTCAGACAATATTTTCGAGACCTTATACATGTTGACGAAAGATCTCGGAGAGCAACAGTAAACTACCATCACTGCTTGTCATTAAATCTTGTCCACAGCAACTCGGAGGAAAAATCAATTTCAAATTTCTTATGCATGAGTGGTTTAGACAGATTTCATTGAAATCGCAAAGGAACTGATACTCATCAGTGAAAAGTAATTAAATTGCAAATTACTTAGAAGACAATATACATGAACACTTTTTATAGAAATCTAGCTTTGTAGTTGAAGAAACAGATTTCTACTAGATCCTCTCTTTCCATGCATTGCTATGGTACCCAATACACTATTAGTTAATATAAATACAATTAGACTTTCTTTTTTTTATTATTTTTTTTTGTGCCAGGCAACAGGCAACAGTTCTGGACATTGAGTGTCACTGTTGTCTCTCCTGACATTTTTTTATGTGCAAATTGCAAGTGCTAGTGCTGACACATAGTGGATTTTGCCATTTATTTAATGCGCTATCCTAGCGTCAACCAGGCTCGGTCGAACCTTAACCAATGTTCCCCCAAAGTCGCATTCGTTAGTGAATGAATCTCGGCCAGTGGAAATGGCCTTCCCATTGAGTCTGTGGCACACTCACCCAGGGTAGGGGTCGACCCTTTGATGTTCAGCCTAAGGTAGGATTTGAACTTGGGTCTACCGATCATGAGTCTGATGCGACAACCACTATGTTACCAGTGACCGGTGATACAATTACATACAATTAGACTTAGCAATTATATAGATTACACAGAATCAAGGCAGCAGCTTATTTGCAGCGACACATAACTTGAATCAGTTGAGGAGAAGAAATATGAATGATTTTTGTCACTGGATCAGCTCATTAAGTGCCATGAATCAAAGACAGTAAACTCTTCTATATACTCAGGAAAATAACAGTTTGTTGCTAGTGAATCAATTCTCTGTATCTGTCTTTTTTATAACTACATGTACAGCAACTTCTAAGCTGGCTATCAGCTGACTTTGGCTTTTCAGAGAAACTCGAATTTTTAAAGTATCATTGTTTTTTGTAGTATTTGACTCTGTTACTAATAATTTGAGACATGCTTTGTACAGTATAGATATATGGCTTTGAGAACAAGGTAGTTAAATGTTAATTTACACTTAAACCGTACTGTGCGCATGTGCGTTTTAGCATAAATTTTTTTTGTGAAAGTCATCTTTCCCTCCCCGTTTAATTTTTCAAATGATTGTTAATAGTCCGCCTTTAAAAAAAAAAGACAACATCATATCATATCATTTAAGAACTGCTGCTATCACTGCTTTGTTAAAAGGCGATAGCTGAAGGATATACAGGAAGTCGTGATGTACTTACGACACGTTTTGATATATTTAGATCATGTAACATACATGTACACACAAGCTACATGTATATGAGCAATAGAGCCTGCTAGCTATCATTAATGTCGGAATAAAACGCATAATCTTTCCATCACATGCATTGTATGAAGAGTTTATTCAGCAACAGGATAATTGATTTTGCTCAAAGAAATAACAAGCCTGAAATCAATAAACTCAAATGACTAACATACGACGGCTTTTCAAAAGATTCTGATTGTGTTGCCATGGTTACCAACAGTGAAAAGTTAGTCAGATTTTTGTAGTATGTATTAGTCCTTATAGGTTTTTGGTTTATTTCTTGTTAGATCTATGTGCCAAGACAACATTACCAATTCAAAAACATGATAATGTTAAAAACAAATTTTACCAGAATTTTACATTCATGTAGAAGCTGGAAAATAATCACATTACTGTTGTTTTTGCAACTGAAAGCAGGTCATAATATTGGGTATTGCTTTTTACAAAAATGTATTTAGGCATCTCCCCTAATCATACATGAGGTAATTAATGGATATGACATGCCTGGTAATGATACAGCAGTACTGAAGAAGATAGTATGGTATTGACAGACACATAGCGAAGATTGAAGTCTCAGTGCAGTGTCCTTGCAATAATCATATTATCAGGGATTTTTTTAAACAAGGGAACAGGGGCGCAGCTCATGCCATGGCCATGCGCCCCCTTACCCTGGGAAGCAGATCCTCTGGCAACCATAAAATTCTGATTGACCAGGGATCACATGTGGCCACAGTCTTCTATCAGACCTGTCTGATAGTAATTTTGGTCCCAAGGAAGCTATAGAATGCTCCATTTTAACTTAGAATTATTAAAAACTCCACACCCAGGTAGGGAGAACCCCATCTTCCCCCACTTGGTGGCGCCGCTGAATTGCAGTTCTTTTTTTCTAGAAAAACCCCTGTATTATTATTATACATCATTTTGATCCAATTGCTTAATACTGGAAGTCCAGAAAAGTAGTGAAAATTATTGGGACTTTCTTGTTATGAACTTTGATTTCAGAAATAATATTCTTCTTCTTAGAAACACAGCATTCCAGCTTTCTATATACATTTTCTAATAAAGATAGGATGCAGGTATCTGCGTAATGCTGCAAAATTACAGCAACAGATGTATAATAATAAACTGTAATCTGCTAGTATATGTTTACAATTTTTTAAATTTCTCTGAGCGCTGTAAATTATCGTTCAACTATGTTTTTTGTTCCATTCTAGAGTTATAAAAAATTTCAGGAAAAATAATAATGAAACACAATGTCGCAATCATGTCCGGCTCAGTACCCATTACTTTTCTTTGTCATGTCTACCTTTAGTAATCCACTCATTTGTCATTAAGCCCACAAAGTAACAAATCACCTTGCCATTGTACATGAAATACTATATTTGCTCTATTAGAAACACACACAAACCAAACCTAACACTTTTGTTGTATTGGATAACTAAAATATTAATTTTGAACAAAGACGTACCTCTGTTAAATCACACAATTTGCAAACACTGCAAAATTAATTTTGTGAAGCTAATGTCGCTTTTATATATAAACACATCAATGGTTTTAAAGTAATCCGACTGAATTTACCTTAAAAGAAACGAAAGGCGATAAAATAATTTGCATGTGTATATTTTTATTACAGAGGAACTAACTGAATACGGATGCGAAACTGTTAATGGTGCTACTATAGCTTGTTTTAGATTACAGTATGTAATGATGGAATGTACTTAAGAGCTAAGACGATTTGGGCAAAAGCTTGTCTATTTGAAATGCTTCTTGTCAGCAAGACATTTTTACTCAGAACTAAGACTTTCTTCAAATCAAGAGAATTCACCAGACCAGAAGACAAATGCAGTAGTGATAAAAAGACAGAGT